GGGGTGGGAGGGGGGGAAGGGGGTGGTGCGATTTGCTTGGCAACCCATTTGAAGAATTATGACTCCCCAGTTCTCCGCTGAATGACTCCTCCCTTCCGGTTCTGTTTATATATTTTAGTATACCCTCCCCTCAGAGTTTTCACTCTCTCAAAGCTCACTTTCACCCCCCTCCCCCTCCCCAGTAAAAAAATGAACGGTCCCTTACCGATTAACATACTTTTTATTTTGATGGTTACTTTTTCTGTGCTGTGTTTCTATAGCGGGAGGAAGCGGCTATGACATTTTACAGTAACTGGTCCAGAAAGAGAATATAGGCGAAAATGCAATTGATTGTTTCAATTTTTAAACTGTAACAAAATTATCAAATACCCCAGGGTATGGGAATAAATCTGAAGGTGCTCTTCCGGTCCCCTCAAGGTTTGAACGCGTTCACAGACAAAGATATACGTCATTCGAGGCATGCTCAGGTTATAGGATTTACGGTGAATTACGGTGGTCTAGGCCCAACTAAAAATCCGCTCCGCTAGCAAATGAATCGAGGACCGCACTTCCCAGTCTAATGGCTCCTCCAACACCCCGTTATTTCGAGGGAACACAGGTAACCCAAATCAAAAACTTGATCTGCCGTCCGAACTCGTAAACCAATTATCACTTGGCCCGTGAAACCTGTTTGTTTAAAAACTAACATTGTTCAAAGTAGGAATTAGTGCGAAACTACACGGCAAATTATTGTGACCGTAACTACGCGTTATGATAGGATGAATTACTGCATGGGAAGACAATGGGAAATCATTTTAATGTGCCGTTTGTCAGTACTGTAGTTATCTACTCATACTAAAACCGCTCTATTTTTTCTTGAGCCAAGTAAAATCACTATTTTCTTTAATCAAGTGTTATTTACCAACACTGAACCAGCTCAGTCCCCGACATGTCAAAATCTCAAAAAATTCTGGAGACTGCTACCTTAAACTACAGCACTGTGTCACATTTTATAACTTAAATAATCACTATACAAGAGCGCAAACGTACAAACAAAACAAAAACACAAGACTGAAAAACCCACAAAAACAAACAAGAAAATGTCGCTATTCCTTCAACTCTTTTACTCTCTCTCTCTCTTGAAAACAGCCCATTAAAACTCAATATTACTACAGTGGCTCTTCACTAAACCAAATATTTTTTCTTTTATATTTTTACGGGAAAACATTGGTTCCCATGCTTAAATTTAGTAACATCGCCCTTTAAAACATTATTCACTTTCCCTCAGACTACAAGACAGTCCCTCGCCGCTACGCAGGTCGAGTGTATACAGCTATTTCAAAAGAAGTCGGCAAAGGTTTAGTTGCAGGTTGCATACCAAACCCGAAATGCACTGTGAACTTTGTGAATGCCATCAGCGAAAGCTCACGATATATAACTTTCCTAAATATTGTCTGCACATTTTCCCGGTATATTTTATTCTGTTGACATAAATTGCATATGGCCACAACCCAGTCCAACATTGGTAAGCAACAAGCAAGATGCAGCACGCAAGATGCAATAAAACTTTCACCAGAGATTTTTGAAATAGATGTATAGTTAATACAACCCCTTTACGAATGAATTGGGGGAGACTAGGCCTTTGACAAACGTGGTTCAGACCCTCTGCATAGTCATTCAGAGGTCGAAGTAAAAAGTGGGTAGAGTTGGTATTGCAGTACATTGTGGGATTGTCTTAGGGACCTGAGACTGTACTCAAAAACAATACCATAATGCATTGCAATGCAAGCTCGACCCATTTCCCCCTCGAAATGGCTAATGTGAGCAAGAATCCATCCACGACGCAATAGAATAGGAACGAATACTCGATAGATATGGTACAGTACTATAGGGTGGACTGTATTGCCGCCTAGCTTCGCCTTAACACTACCTCTCTACCTCTACAACTTCTTAGCATTAAAACCTTGCCCGAAAATTATCAAAGCTATGCGGAAGTCGACATCGACCCTGTAAGGGCTTGAAGGGCAATTACGGATGGTATACGATGCTTGATGTATATATTATGGTGGGTATATACATTTCAAATACATTTGACTGTTTTTTAAAAAACAAAAAGTATTTTTTTATGAGCGGTTGTATTTTCTAAAATTCTCGTTATGCTTTTTTTACGATTGAAGATGTCCTTCCTGTAATTTTGCCCAATGATTGCTTAGGTATATCACGAATGGCTTTTTTTAGCATTTGTCAGTTTAACATATTTTTACACGGACACTGACTGGCTTTGATTGCTTTCGATTTTTTAGAAACATTGGAAAGGTTTTCCAAGTGTTGGCATTATTTAATTTAGTCGCTCTCTTTCATTTTTTGTTTCGTTTTTACGAGTTGATTTCGGACCGGCTGTTCTCCGTCTGCCCTTCATCTTACTCATCTCATCTCCAAAAACGTCACCGGTCCTCAGGGCAGAGATCAAGTCGTCAAATTCTCCTCTGTTATCTCCTTTGCCACTTGCCATCTTCTTGTCTTTACTTTTATCGCTCCCTGTCATCAACTTTCGGGCTGCTGACTTTTGTCTGTCTTTTTCCTTTTGCTGTTGAACAAAGTTAGTAAAAGTTAGACATCGCACAAACAGAACATACCAAGTCGGACTACCTCGACGATACTGGCGGCGGCCATCTTGCCAGAGGGCAAAACAAAACAAAGATAACGAAAAATATATAGATTTTTGAGTGTTTGTCTTTCTTTTATCGGTAAAGGTGATGTCGCGAGTTGTAAATATCTATCGACGTCATTACTGTAACAAAGCTTTATTTGCCCCTTGGACGCCCCATGATGCCTTGCGATACAAGATGGCCGCCGTATCGTCAAAGTACTCCTAATAAATCTTAGGTAAGGAAGAGGATAAAGAATTACCTCAACCATTGCTTTGGCTTTCCTCTCTTCTGCTTCTCGTTTCTTCTTAATCTCCTCATTTTGATTCTTCGCTTCCTGGTTGTGCAAAAGACATGTTTTAAAACTAATAATTGTTTGATTATCTAATAGTTCATTAATAACGATGGAATATTTCCTCTTAGCATAAACCTACTAATGGTCTATCACAAATCCTGCGCTCTGAATGGCTGAGTTACTGTTGTTCTATTGAGTAAATAGTCCGAAAAGTACAGGTTTTAAAAACCAAAACAATGCAAAAATAAATGTATCCATTTATTTGATCGATTAGTAGGTTTATACAATTAGACCTCTCGCCCTCATGGTATACGTGTCAATAAACCATTCGGTCTAATTGTAGATGGTAGTGGTTTTTGGATGCAATGTTTTTCCATTTCAGACCACGTGTCATTGTGCTGAGAATAAGATTCTTTGTTTGAGACGTATCCATATTTATGTTTCTTCTCATGCGCAACCGTTAAAAAAAGAAATAATACTCAAGGGAATGACATGTGGTATGAAACGGAAAAAACATTACGTCCAAGGTAAAGAAGTCTATAGGTTCACTCACCGCAAAAGAAACCAAAAAAGAAGTAAATATACCAAAGAATTTATCTGATTGTACTGATTTGGGATCTTCACCGAACAATTTGACTATCTTCTGATACTGAAGAAGGAATAAATAATATGTATAAATAATCAATAGTTATTACTGAATGGGACTATAAAGGCTTCCGGGCGAAATTTATCGTTTGCAATATTAATCAAGTAATAATAATAATAACAACAACAACAACAACAACAATAACAATAATAATAATAATAATAATAATAATAATAATGGGAGGTTCTTATATAGCGCATTTCATAATGTCTCAATGCACTTTACATTTATGACCAGTGGAGGACTTTACGGGTTGCATATTAAGGCGCTATTAGCATCCGTGCAGCTTACAATCATGAGTGATTTGTTAGTACATTGAGTATTGGACTCGTGAGGTTGAGCAAAATATCTTGATTGTTAGTGGCCAGGTCTGCCTGGAATTAGCCTGAGGTTTCCCCTTTGCAATTAACAAACCTTTTGCTTCAACTCGTCCCATGCGTCTGTGAGTTCCGTGCAGGAAAACTGAGCTACTTTGACGAAAGAACTCATGGATTCGATGAACTTGTCCCCAGCTGTTTTCTCTCTCTTTCGAGTCTGGAATTCAAGCTCCTGCAATGACGTAAGCCATCAAGAGGGGAAATCTATTAGTTCATACAAATTCATAGCATACCTGACGACAATGGGGAGATCTTTTGATTAGATTCCGTAGAACTGGAGTGAAGTTGTGCAAAGCAGATGGAGCACAAACACTTACGAATAGCCACATGAAAATAACCCTGAGAAAAGGGCGTATCATTTGGTTTTCCTCCCTCAGCTAGGGATAATCTAATGCGGGAATGCTATAATGAGTGAGATCTGTAATGGGCGATCTGAGACTAAATGGAAAATTTGTGCTTTTATGTTTCCTGGCTAATATACGAAAAATTACATTCTTAACTCAAACGCCATGCTTTATATTCCAATCTAAAAGGAAACTACATTGTTCGGCTGTGAAATGAGTATAATTTGCAGCGTGCTACTCTGTCTCAGATTAATTTCAGATCTTTCACCAACGTTTTTTTGAAATAGGTGTATTTTAAGGTGGCTCCACTGGGTTTTATCCGCGCGATACCATGCAACTTCAAATCGCAAATACGCCGGCGGACGCAAACAATCCAATACTAAATTTTTTTCAGAGGTTTCAAAGGAAAGATGAAATTTTCGAATTAGCATGTTTTTACTGAAATCGGAATTAATATAAGATTGCTGTCGAGCGTTGGTGCGTTTACTTCATTGCCTATTTTCTCCATCTTTTTACCTCGGTTTTTAAATTGCTTTTGAGATATTGGAGGATAAGTAATTTGCTCAAGGTACAGAGCCACCTTAACTTTGCTTACCTTTTCTAGCTCCTTTAGTTCCTTTTTGATCGAGGTAATTTCAGATTCGAGATCATTTAGGCTGCATTAAAAAGAATGTTTGTTAAAAAATGCTCTTCCAGGTTTTTCTGACACAAGGTCATTTTATAATAATGGATTTTCCCTTCTTCCCACTTTCCCTTTCCCACTTTCTCTTTCCCACTTGGCTCTCAACAGAGTTCATCATCGTTCCAGATTCACTTAAAAAGGACAAAAAATGATGGCGGCAGATAAGAATATCAGGACGCCAATCAAACTTTGTCTAGAAAACGTTGGGATGGGGTGGGATGGGATGGGATGGCGTGGGTGGGATGGGATGGGATAGGATGGGATAGGATGGGTTAGGATGGGTTAGGATGGGATGTGATGGGAAGATATGGGATGCGATGGGATGGGATGCGATGGGATGGGATGCGATGGGATAGAATGGGATGAGATGGTATGGTATGGTATGGGATGGGATGGGATGGGAAAGAAAACAGCAAGAAACTTACTTGGCTTTTGCCGCTGTTCGAACATGTGGAAGATCTTGTTCTAATTTGAGTACGTCTGGATACTAAAAATTAAATGAACCCCAAACATAAGTTAATTGTTTTTCCGAGACAGCAAGATGGCTGTATCTTTCTGGACCAATCACAGTGCGCGATTTATGTCACGCCGTATAAAGTCAAGACGTACATCAACAAACCAATCTTTATATTTCCTTCAGAATTTCAAGATGGCACTCATTTCTGACTAACCATAGCACCTTGTTTGCGTCCCGCATAGAAGTTTTAAAAGAGTTCAAAAAAATATTCTGTTTAATCGAAAAAACCCTAAAAATATACTTACCGATTTTTCTAAAACGCTGACAAGATAGTTAAGAAGGGTAATTTTGGAATTGGCGCTTGACTTGGTATCTATTATATTATTAAGACTATTGAGTTTGAAACCTGAAAACAAGCAAAAACGATAACGCAAAATGAATATCAGAAAAATTTAAAAATTTCCTTACGATTTTCGTTTGGTTTTGACTGTAAGTATTCTATTTACTGCATGAGTATCGTGAATGAGAAGCCATATCAATGTCACGGCACGCAGAAACGTGTACCGACAGAAAGCCATTTAAAAAGTAACAATATGCGAGAGGCTTTATGGAAAGCCATTTTGATGCCAAGGACTTGTCGAAACGCATTTCAATGCTGCGACATGCAATATCTGGGAAGCCATATTCCTTGATATCATCATAGCGTAGTATTACTGCGTATTCTGTTTGAAAACTAAGACAAATGGAGACGACTATCGTCTCGATAGACGATGAAAATTGAGATGATGATAATAATGATGGTGATGACTGATGATAATGGGGTGGTGGTGAAGGCGGTGATGATGGTGATGATATGAGTAGAGGTTATTCAGATATTTATAGACTAACGAGTGGATGATGACTAGTAAAGAACTAGTGTAGACTGCGTCGGTGTTTCTGAATAAAACAGTAGGAACTTATGGATAAATTGAATCACCGTAAGAAGCTTTGTTAAACTGACGTTTCGGTAGGTTAGTCCTTCGTTACTTCGACAAAATCTAAGATTTCACTTCCAGAGGTGGTGGGTACTGGGTAACACCACCCCTCCCCCTAAATCGGGTACCGTGAGATAAAAATTGTTTTGCCTTCATCCCTTATAGAGTACTTGTTTAATCCTATTACCTGCTGCATTGCCTCTAGCTCCTCGATTCATATAGTTACCAAAGGCCAACACAACTTCTAGAAGAATTCTTAGCCTTTTGCTTCGATGCAGCTCCTTACAGGCAGATATCACAGCTAAAAACAAAAAAATAAAGGGCGCAATTGAAAAATAATAATAATAAACCGTTGTGATCGGGAAACACAAGGCAAATGAATGCTGTGAATGTAGCTTCAGGGTATCGATCAAATCTGAAGGTTTTTTACACAGAAAGCTATCTTAGTGCCAAAAAGGCGTATACGACACTAGTTTACAAGTGACTAAGAACCCTCCAATGAATACTGAAGAGGTCTTGTCATTACCTTGTACTTTTGGCTTGACATCTCCCATTCTTTCAGCGAATCTTTTTTTATAACATAAGGACTTGAGCCTCTGTTCGTAATGAACAATCCTAAAAGAGAAACACATTGGAAGAGCGAATACTTTGCGTTTAAAATGAAAATGATTTTTTTTTTTTTTTTATCTCAGGATTTTTCCAGATCAGGAATGGTTACTTACCGACTCATATCATACAGGAATTTGTCTGCTCTGGCAAACTGGTCCTGGTTTTTGTTGTGTTCATTCAATAAATTCTTTTCCGCTGGTGTTGGGACATACTTTAATAACTAAAGAAACAATGACAGTCATTAGTATGTCTTTCCTGCGTGTCGAGAAACGTCCTCATTTGAACAATTAGACCCTCGATGACCGAATGAGCTATTGACCCGGGATTGACCCGTAGACCATGAGGATGAGAGGTCTAATAGTCCCCTTCAGAGTCCTCTGCGCTATCTTGAAAGGTAGCCGTGCCTTTGCATCGAAGCAAGACGAACGGCAAGCTTGCAATGATAGAGACACGAATAATTGCCCAAGGTGTTAAAAAAGGTCTTTATCATTGCATGCTCACTGTTCGTCTTGCTTCGATGAAAAGGCTACCTTTCAAGATGGTGGAGGGAAGGCTACCTTTCAAGATGGCTACCTTTCAAGATGGCTACCTTTCAAGATGGCTACCTTTCAAGATGGCTACCTTTCAAGATGGCTACCTTTCAAGANACCTTTCAAGATGGCTACCTTTCAAGATGGCTACCTTTCAAGATGGCTACCTTTCAAGATGGCTACCTTTCAAGATGGCTACCTTTCAAGATGGCGGAGAGAACTGTGAAAGGGACTTTTGTTTTAGTATAAAGCTAGTAAAAGGTCAAATAAATGGATACAAACAATGTTAAATTTGGGTTTAAATAATTTATTATTTCGTTGTTTTGGTTTCTAAAATCGCTATTTTTCGTTACAAGTGATCTATCACTAACAGACCACTAGTAACTGGACCAATCAGAGCGCAGGATATGAGATAGACCATTAGTAGGTTTATTTTAATAATAATTAATAATCAGGTAATATTTATCTACTAACCTGTTCTACCATATCTTTTGATAATTCATCTTTCTCGTCCATACTTAAAATAGCATTCGTGATCTCTTCGTCTGTCATCTTTAGTTTTGATAATAATATTCCACAGTTCTAATACCAAGAAGAGAAAAATAGGTCAGTTTAAGACCAACAATGGGATCTGTTTCAAAACATAGAAATGGATGAATGGATTGAGAGAGAGGGAAAGAGATCTGTGAATGGATGGTGGGAGGAAGGGATGAAGTTTTTGAATCTAATAAGCCGCTGGTTTGTACCGTTGCGTCATTTTACTACCAGTACCAGAATGCTTTGCAAAATCAAAACTTTAGAGATATGTGTTGGGTACCTGTGCTCGGCGATTATCAATCAGTGAGAGTTCTTTTGGCTTGTTATCTGTTACGTCTTTGGGATCTTTCTGTTGTAGGAAAAGGAGAAAAAACTTTATCTTTCAATTGTCCTTGATAGAAACAAATGATAAACTAGGTGGTAATCCCCTGAATTGCCACTAGGAGACTGGGCAAAACATTTGAGTAGACAGTTTTACTATGGCGACGAAATGTAATCAACATCTACATTTGATATTCATACACATTGTTTACAGGTATTTTACATGATTTTTCCATACATTGCACAAAATTTACATACTGTGTAAAAGTGTGCTTTCCTGTAAATGTAATTTATTGTCTTTACATAGATTTTACATAATTTTCACATAGTATGTAACTCAGTCAACTTTAGCAGTGGGCTATGAGTATATCAAACATCAACAACGACAACCCTCTTATCTTCCTTCCTCCTCTTTCTCCCC